GCGTCTGGAGCCTGTGCTCCGCAACAAGAGAGGCCGCGATAGTGAGAGGTCCGCGCACAGCGATGAAGAGTGGCCCCCGCTCGCCGCAACTGGAGAAAGCCCTTGCACAGAAACGAAGACCCAACGCAGCCAAAAATAAATACATAAATAAATAAAAATATATTTAAAAAATGCATGTTTATTTTTACCCAGTTGCAATAATAATGTATAAGTATTGTAAATATGTTATGCTAACATACTACAAATGTATTAAAATAATCATTTTTATAATAATCATTTTTAAGATTTATATAAACATCTTTGAATAGATGTACCCAATTTAATCATTCCTCCATGTTTAGATGGTGTCATTTTCCTCTGTTTTTCTTTTTTTTCCCGCTGTTTTGATTACAACTTTCCATCTGGTGTGCCATTGACATTCTGGTATGCAGAGATGGCATTCAGGTGTGATGAGATCTCTTTGATCCTTGGGAGGCCATGGCTGGGGCTTGCAGTGACTGGGGCCCCAGATTAGTAGCCCCAGGCTGCATGAAGCCATCTTTGACCAATTACTTCAGTGGGCTGTACAAATATTATCACTTTCAATGCGTGCCACTGCATTGAAAAAAGTTGGGATATATTTTTATGGTGGTGCAGTAATTGTCTTCAACTTCTATTAATATTACTGGTTATTGTTTTTACAACTGAGTTATAATTACTTTTTTAAACAATACTTGCACATAATAAAGATGTTAATGGTACAGAAAAGTAAATAGTGGTAGTAAGTTCCTCTCTAACCCTAGGCACTGTGTTTCTCTCCACAGAGCCCAATTGTCATTAATTTCTTATGTGTTCTTTCAGAGGCTTCCTAAGGCCAAACAAGCACCTATCTATCTACGATGTAGCATAAATTTACATGATATTGATATCAATGTCTAAATCTATAGCTATCTAGGGGCAACATTAAAAATATTTAGCACAGGTGCAACCACTTGGAAGGAAGGCCCATGGTATACAGGATGTGCCAGAGCGCCTATAGCACATCCTTGGCCTTGAATGTACGCTTTGCTTTTACACATTGATCTACACTCAGCTCTTTTAATCTGGTAATATGATTTGGAGATTGTTCCACATTAGCATGTACAGGGTGCTTCATTCTTTCGACGGTACTGTATTTTAACCACTTCCTACAGATGGATTTTTAGGCTGTTCCCAGTTTTTTGTTACTATAAACAATGCTCCAATAAATATCCTTAAACAGTGTGAATTTATCTGTAGCATAAACGTATAGATAAAGAATTGCTGGGGGAAACATTATATGCATATAAAATTATGGTTGGTATTGTTAAATTTCCTTTCAAAGAAGTTTAACATCTTTATTCCTATCAGCAATGTACGTGAGGGCCTATTTCCCAAACCTGGGCCAACTCAATATATCTTTATTAGTCTGAAGGGTGAAAAATAGTGTCTCAATTTAATTTAATTTAAAAATATTTAAAATCTTAAATTTTGAATGTTTCTGAATCAAGTTTTTCTCTGTAATTAGACAAGCAAGCTTCATCCATGAACCTGAAACAGGCACAGATACTACTAGAAGGTGAGAAGCTGGTGAGGATAATAAAAAGCAAAAACTCCTTGCGATTATCTGCCCAAGGATGAGGGTAGCATTGGTGTTTAATTTTTTGCTTTGTGTCTCTTCTTCTCCGTTTCCAACAGATCGCATTAGAAAGTTATGAGTTACATAGATGTGTGGTGTTTGAGCCTTGCTTGAGGTGTGGAAATTTAGAAGAGCAAGAAGGGCAAGAAAGGGCTCATTTGTCCTCCTTACATCAAATTCCAGGTACCATCCTTTCTCCCTAGCAGAGCCAGCACATCTACAAAATCAGAGAGTGACAGAGAAATAATGGAAGAAAAAAAAAGGAATTTAAGTACTATTTGATCTGGGAGAGGCTTGCAGAAATCAGTGTGTTGTTGTTTTTTTTTAATTGAAGTATAGTTGATTACAGTTTACAATCTCTGCTGTACAGCAAAGTGGCTCAGTTATACACATATACACATTCTTTTTTTATTGAGATTTTAAACAAAATATTTATTTATTTTTGGCTGCAGCAGGTCTTAGTTGCACAGGAGCTTTGTTGTGGCACGTGGGCTCATGGTTGTGGTGCTCGGGCTCTGTAGTTGCGGCATGAAGCTCTCTAGTAGTGGCTCACGTGCTCAGTAGTCACGGTGTGAGGGCTTAGTTGCCCTTTGGCATGTGGGATCTTAGTTCTCCGACCAGGGATCGAACCGGCATCCCCTGCATTGGAAGTTGGATTCTTAAGAGCTGTACCACCAGGGAAGTACCTCATTTTTTTTTTTTTTTTGCGGTACGCGGGCCTCTCACTGTTGTGAGAGCACAGGCTCCGGACGCGCAGGCTCAGCGGCCATGGCTCACGGGCCCAGCTGCTCCGCGACACGCGGGACCCTCCCGGACCGGGGCACTAACCCGCGCTCCCTGCATCGGCAGGCGGACTCCCAACCACTGCGCCACCAGGGAAGCCCCCTCTTTCTTTTTTTAAAAATTCTTTTCCATTATGGTTTATCCTAGGAGACTGGATATAGTTCCCTGTGCTATTCAGTAGGACCTTGTTGTTTATCCACTCTAAATTGTATTGGGTTGGCCAAAAAGTTCATTTGGTTAGTGAATACATTGTTCAATAAAATTCTTGGTGAAAATCAAAAATATGTCTTTTATTTTTACTAAAAACAAAGTGAACTTTTTGGCCAACCCAATAATAGTTTGCATCTACCAACCCCAAATTCCTAGTCCATCCCTCTCCCCGATCTCCCCCTTGGCAACCACAAGTCTGATCTCTATGTCTGTGAGTCTGTTTCTGTTTTGTAGATAGGTTCATTTGTGCCATATTTTAGGTTCCACATATAAGTGATACCATATGGTATTTCTCTTTCTCCTTCTGACTTACTTCACTTAGTATGATAATCTCTAGTTGCATCCACGTTGCTGCAAATGGCATCATTTTGTTCTTTTTTATGGCTGAGTAGTATTCCATTGTATATATGTACCACATCTTCTTTATTCATTCATCTGTCCATGGACATTTAGGTCGTTTTCACGTTTTGGCTATTGTGAGTAGTGCTGCTATGAACATAGGGGTGCATGTATCTTTTTTTTTTCAGCTATACATATACATATATCCCCATATCTCCTCCCTCTTGCGTCTCGCTCCCACCCTTCCTATCCCACCCCTCTAGGTGGTCACAAAGCACCGAGCTGATCTCCCTGTGCTATGCGGCTGCTTCCCATTAGCTATCTATTTTACATCTGGTAGTGTATATATGTCCATGTCACTCTCTCACTTCGTCCCAGCTTACCCTTCCCACTCCCCGTGTCCTCAAGTCCATTCTCTATGTCTGTGTCTTTATTCCTCTCCTGCCCCTGGGTTCTTCAGAAGCATATACATTTTTTTAGATTCCATATTTTTTTTTTAGATTTCCATATACCCTGAGAAAACCATAATTCAAAGAGTCATGTAAATAGAGCTGCAATGTTCATTGCAGCTCTATTTACAATAGCCAGGACATGGACACAACCCAAATGTCCATCGACAGATGAATGGATAAAGAAGATGTGGCACATACATACAATGGAATATTACTCAGCCATAAAAAGAAACGAAATTGAGTTATTTGTAGTGAGGTGGATGGACCTAGAGTCTGTCTTACAGACTGAAGTAAGTCAGAAAGAGAAAAACAAATATCTTTTTGAACTATAGTTTTGTCTGGATATATACGCCCAGCAGTGGGATCACTGGATCCATGGTAATTCTATTTTTAGTTTAAGGAACCTCCATACTGTTCTCCATAGTGGCTACACCAACTTACATTCCCACCAACAGTGTAGGAGGGTTCTCTTTCCTCCACACCCTCCCCAGCATTTGTTATTTGTAAACTTTTTAATAATGGCCATTCTGAGCAGTGTGAGGTGGTATCTCATTATAGTTCTGATTTGCACAAAAATCAGCATTTTGAGTCACTATTTTTCCATTTCATTAACTGGTAGGGATCACTGGTATCCTGCCCTTTAAGTTGGGCGTAGTTAGGGAAGCTCAATGGAATTGAACCCGTATTTTAAGAGTTTTTTGGAGAAAATGAGAGTATCCTGTGAGGCATGCTCTGTTTGCAGATTATTACCCCCCATTCTCCCCAACCTAACCCTGTTTATTATTTATTTTGAGGAACTGGACATGCAAAGGCAGGGAAGATGCATGTGTGCACGTAAGATCCCAAATCAGTCAGTTGAATGCTGAACGCGGAGACCTCGAGTCTCGCAGAAGACTTTCCAAAGGTAGAGAAAAATATACCCTTGCCCCATACGTAAGAAAAATCTGTATTATTGGAAAAATACACATCTATCCTTCCTGGATCCTACTCTATTCTCTATTAACGAGATTTAGATGTTAAAAAAGTGAGGAATGAGGCTTAGTGAGACTACCACCGAAGTGCAAAGAACAAATTTAGATTTGGGCCCGACGTTAGGTTCTAGATTTGCACCTCAAGCTCCACCCCTATCCAATCAGGGGCAGTCCCCGCTGTTATCCTCAGATGTTTTAAAAGCAAGCGGTTTTTAAAACCTCAAATCCTGCTCTTTGTGTTGGTTGCCTCGGAGTTGTCCCTTCGCAGCCTAACGATTTACGGTAGAAAACACGGAGGTGGTGCCCCACCGCAGCATGCTCTCGACTTCCGAGCCTGCGGCCCGGGGTCTCGCCCTCCGCCCCCGGCGCCGAGCCGGGCCACGGCGCAAGGCCCCTCTCCAGCTCCCCCCTCCCCGCGCGCTGCGGCTGGCCCTCCCCAGCGCCCCGCCTGACGCTGCAACTGGGCCGGCGATTCGCCATTGGATTAAAAATAGCAGCGTCCCTTCCACCAGCCCGCCAGTACGCGCAGGCCCCCCGTGCCCGCTCCAGCCCCGCGGCCCGCTCTCTCCACCCTTCCCGGCTCGGCTCCAGTCGCCCTCGCAGCCCGCCGCCGCCGCCGCCGCCGCAGCCGCCGCCGGCGGACCCAGCGCTCCGCTCCGCTTGGGTGCGCGCCGCGGCCATGCAGCGCCGGGGCGCCCTGTTCGGCATGCCGGGCGGCAGCGGCAACAGGAAGATGGCTGCAGGAGACATCGGCGAGCTGCTGGTACCCCACATGCCCACGATCCGCGTGCCCCGGTCCGGGGACAGGGTCTACAAGAACGAGTGCGCCTTCTCCTACGACTCCCCCGTAAGTGAGGCTCGGCGGCGCCGGCGGCGCCTCGTGGGGAGGGTCGCTGTGCGGGCTGCCTGGGGCGGCCGCGAGCAGCCGAACTCGGCGGCACGTGAAGTGGGGGGAGAAGATGCGCAGTGGCAGCCGGGGACCTCCTCGCCGGGCGCCAGAGTTGGCTCAGGGGCACTGCAGTTCAGCAAACACTTAGTGAGTGCCTACTGGGTGCCCGGGGCTGCATGCCCCAAGGCTGCTGAGGCCAAAGACTGGGCGGCCGCGGTGGCTTGCTCCGCCAGGCTTCTTAGGCTGCCAGGGCCCCAGTACCTAGAAGCTTGCCCAAAACCCCGCCACCGTTTGAAAGGTAGATCGAGTCGAAGAGTTCCCTGATCTTAACTGTACGTTGCAGATGGTTTGCGTCCTCTTTGGGGCGACAGCGGAGGGCGGGTAGGTGGACGAGATTGATTCCCCCCTTCTCTTTCCGGGACCGTTTGCTTTGCCCAGGGATTCCCACTCCTGGACAATTATGATTTTACTCTCTGAGCTTTTCTCCCTCCACTTTAAATTTCTCCCCACTCCTTTTCTTTACGTCAGAATGTCAGAAGAAACCTTCGGGTGCTTCCACTCGGGCAGCAGAAATAGGGGGTCTGCTGGATTACTACGGTTTCCTTAAGCCTTTCCGCTTCTTCCTCTAAATGAGTCACTTTGAAATGCAATAGTATAAATTATTTAAAAGTTCAGTCGCGAGTCGTGACCTCAGAGACTGGAGGGGGAAGTGAAGACGCATCACCGCCTTCCACCCAGGGCTGTTGGTGGTGTTTTTCACCAGGTTGTATGTGTAAGTGTGAGAAGGAAAAGGAGGGTGAATGTCCCTTTCGGGAGTCAAAATGGGCTTCAAAGTGACTCAGCTGTCTGGCGTTTATCATGTCTTTTTGAGGATCAGGTTATTTTTATCCACCCACTTTAGAGCTCATGTGTCACTGGGCAGATCTCAATGCAAAAGGGAGGTGCATAGATGGAGGGACTGAGGTAGGTTTCACAACAATAGTCTAACACATTTTATTCATATTATGTATTGTTGGCGGAAAAAAAAAAACAACCAAATGAGCGGCAAATGTTCCAAAGTATCCTTTATTATGTTGTGAGTTGATTTCTGCTGATTTCAAAGCCTTTTTGTTTTGTACACACTGAAGTCCCAGAATTAGTATCCTCTGTGATATTTAATTTTTCTTTTTTGTTAATTCCAGATCATTTGGGGGATAAAAATCTCACTTGTTCATTACTTATTCTTTTCTTTCAAAAAGGTCTGTGTAGAGTGGAATGAAATGGTTATATTTAATACTTAGCGTATTGTGATCACACTATTTAATGTGACGGTCAGCAGTGTCATTAAATCCTGTTATCCACAAAGTATTTGAAAATGCCATTTTCAGATTTTGTGTCTAGTGTTGGGCAGGTTTCCACTAATAGCTTTTAAAGGTGGAGAGGGATGACCCTAATTAATTTAAGCCATCTGCAGATTGTGAACTCCAGGAAGAAAGTAGCCTAATTCTTTTAGGATAACACAATTGAAGTGGGTAAAACTGCTTTTTCTATGTTTGATCTGGGTTACTCTTCAAATTCTTCCTACGAACTTTGTTATTGGAAGTCTTTGCCACATTATAGTGTAAGGCAGGTGTGAAAAAAAAGCTTATTATTTTTATTTATTTACTTATTTTTTTGCGGTACGCGGGCCCCTCACCGTTGTGGCCTCCCGTGCTGCGGAGCACAGGCTCCGGACGTGCAGGCTCAGCGGCCATGGCTCACGGGCCCAGCCGCTCCGCGGTATGTGGGATCCTCCCGGACTGGGGCACGAACCTGCGTCCCCTGCATCGGCAGGCGGACTCTCAACCACTGCACCACCAGGGAAGCCCAAGCTTATTATTTTAATTCACTTCCACAAATAGTTATTGGGAGCTTACTGTGTGCCAAACACTATTCTAGAAGCATCTCGTCCAGTGTAAACTGATGATTTCATTCATATCACAGTACTTCTTTGGGGAAGACTGGCTTATTTACAATGCCGGTGCATCAGTATATTTCCTGTTTCAAGGGAGGAAGAGAAAGAAGGTTTTATAACAAATTATATTAAAGCAC